GTTTAAAAGATTGAGAATCTTCAATCCATAAATGTGGTAAAGAAAAAAAAATAAATAGAAGATTGAGAATCTTGCAGTATCTTAGGGTCATTACTAGCAGTGCACCATACACATACACAAATATCAGTTAATAGAGAAATTCAAAAGAAAACAGCAAAGTTTAATATTGTTCATCATTAACAAGTACTTATTGGCTATGTGTTAAGGCAGTGGTCCCCAACCTTTTAGCACCAGTTCGATGGAAGACAATTTTTCCACAGACGGGGGTTGGGGGGTCAGGTGGCGCTCAGGCAGTGATACGAGCGATGGGGAGCAGCTGTAAATTCAGATGAAGCTTCCCTTGCTCACCCACTGCTCACCTCCTGCTGTGCAGCCTGCTTCCTAGCAGGCCTCCGACTGATACTTATCAGTGGCCCAGGGGTTGGGGACCTCAGTGTTAGGGGCATTGATGTTGCATGCACAGCACTATAAAGTTTTTTCCTGCTTTTAACAGCATTCACACTTGTAGCTACATAGCTACACTAAAAAGGAAGAGGAATTTACTTGTCTATTGCTGATGGTCAGTTTTTCCAGGAAATGTCGAAGAACTGTCGATGGATCTTCAATTAGACAATTCCACAAGACTTGTTGGGCCACAGCACTCACTTTGGAAGAGAAAGAAAATTGAACAGTTGTCTTAAATGGAGATAAGGCTATGAGATAAAAGATTCAACAATTTACTAAGCTTTAGTCTCTTCTTTTTGCCTTAAATAGGTTCTGTGAACTCTTTTTCTATTGAAAGGTGGATATTTGTTCTCTTTGTTGTTATCTCTGAACATTTTTACATGTAAAGAAAAAGTAACAAAAAAGGTAGGATTGTCTTTAGGTATTAGCATTGCTTTTGCAAAGAGTACCTTTGTGGATATATGTGGTTGTCTTTCTTGTGGAAATTACCCTAACATGAGCCGTGGTAAGCATGTATTACATTAAAGTCATATTTTATTGCTTATTTTATGGAGAAATTCCTAAAGAAATTTGGTTTTTGAAAATATGTTTTGGTTTAGAATGCTTATGTATTAGAGATGATTTTTTTACTGTCCACACAAATGCTTTAAACAGTATCTCTTTCAGCAAGATAAAGTAGTTGAGCCAGTAATAGTTAGGTTCTCACTTCTAATGAGGAAGTCTTAGGAATGAATAATTAATCCTAATGAGAAATGTAGTGCTACTTCTTTAGGAAAGGTGGTCAGGCTAAGATTGCCTAGAAATACCAAGGCTAGGAAAGCAGGTAGGTAAAAAGTGGCGGTAACCACTGGATGATCTTCAGTCTGAATAGTCTTTCCAAATTCCATTAATTCTACAAATTAGGAATATAGAATTTAGCATGAATTTATTATTCAGCCCACATTTTAAAGAAATCATACCAATGTTTGCTTCAGACGTTAACTATTCAAATAAAATTAAGAACTATATAAACAGTATTAGTAAGAAATACACACACACACACACACACACACACACACAGACACAGAGCTTTAACTTTCACGTGTCTCTATAAATAGTTAAAATAGGTGTGGGTTTTTCTCAGGTTGAAATTGGTTACAAAAATATCTTTACATGTGAAATAAGCCAGGCACAGAAAGATAAATATAGCATGTTCTCACTCATATGTAGAAACTAAATAAGTTGGTCTCACAGAAGTGGAGAGCAGAATAGTGTGTCTATTTTGTAGCTGAACTGTAAAATTTTATTGTTTTAAACAACAGTGCTGTTTAATATCCTTTGCCCATTTTTCTATTGCAGTTTAAAGAGTTATTATTGAGTTATAAGAACTTTTTTATAAAACTTTAAGAATATTAAGCTTTTGTCAGCCACAAATGTAACATATATTATAAACTATAACCCTAGTTTATAATTTCATTTTGCAATTATTCTCTTCAGGCAGGTAGTACCTCCGAAAAGGTAACTAAATGGAAAGTATAGCATTAGTGGCGTCAAGCTAATAGCTAAGATTTTTGTGGTGGCCAAAATCATTGTTTAATTTCTATGTGGCTTAATAAGTGTTGTTTTGTTCCATGGTCATGAGAAATTCTCCTGGACCCAAATATCTATTTTAAATGAATTTTGGGGGGGTCAGAAAGGTAGTAGAAGAAGGAGGTGGAGAAAGTGATAGTGTTAGTATATTATGTTACAAATCTGTAACTAAAATATGTGCATAAAACATACCAACACGTGTTTGGTAGGTAATGTGTTCAAAAGCAACCTGCTGTCCTCTATCAAATTAACAGCTTAAGAACGTCACTGACAGTTTAGTCAAAACTGTACCTGCTACTCCATCTTCCCGCACCTCACCGTCCTCCATCAGATGAACAATGGGAAGTACTGCTGCACAGATGCATGCTGGGAACACTGCTTGTGGGGGCTGGGGCACATGGTGGTTTGGTGTATGTTCAGTGGTATGTTCTTCATCTGAAGAGGGAGACAAAATCAGGGTGCTTTTCTTAGTAATGTAATTGTAATGCAACATTTCTCAGTTAAAGGCC